GGGCAGCTCCTGCATTGAGCGTCTGCCCCCTGGTGGTCAGTGTGTGTCATAGTGACCAGTCATTCCCAGTCGTTCTGCTGTTAGGGTCAGTTTGCATATTATCCTTTTATTATATAGGATAGAGGCCTGGTGCATGGGTGGGGGCTAGCTGGTTTGCCCTGAAGGGTGTCCCGGGTCAGGATGGGGGTCCCGCTGGGGTGCCTGGCCAGCCTGGGTGAGGGGCTGATGGCTGTTTGCAGGCTGGCCACACCCCCTTTAGGGTGGGGGGGTCCCCACTGGGGTGCCTAGCCAGTCTGGGTGAGGGGCTGAGGGCTGTTTTCAGGCTGGCCAAGCCACCCCGGCAACGGAAGCTCCCAGCCTCTCCTTTTTTTATTTTTTATTCTGGGATTTATTTACCTTCTATAATTGAAACTTCGTTGCCTTTTGTGGAGGCTACAGCTGGCCAAGGAAGGAGCAATCAAGCCTCCTGCTCAGTTTAGCTCCGTGGCCACGGCCGGCTGAAAACAGGTACCTGGGGTTTATTTACCTTCTATAATTGAAACTTGGTTGCTTTAAGTGGAGCTGAGAGCTGTCGCAGCAGCTTGGCTTCCTCCATCATTGGGGCAACCAAGCCTCCTGCTTGCTCCAGCTCCGTGGCTGCTGGCCGCTATCTTGGTTGGGTTAATTTGCATATAGTCGCTCTGATTGGCTGGTAGGCGTGGCTTAAGACATAGCGAAGGTATGGTCAGTTTGCATGTTTGTCTTTTATTAGTGTAGATGTTGCTAACCAAAGAGACACATCTTCCCTTCAGATGTTTGGTACTGATATTACCATTTAAAATGCTAGTGAAAGATATCTTGCATTTATTTCTTCCTGTCCCAGCTAAAAGGGAAACAGTTCTTCTGATTTCCTAGAGGAAGTCTTCGTACTTTGTTCTTAATGGCTACCACCAATAAAAATTGAGAACTTAAAAAATTCCTTTATATTTTCTGTCAATACACATATTTTAAAGCATTTTAAGAGATCCTTTAATTATACAGTAAAAAACAAAAACCCACTGCTGTCAGCAATGACCTAGGCGCTAGTTTTTCACAGACCTAATCACTCGAGCTTCTGTGGGGCCTGAGTCTGCTCTGCTGCGTAACTAAAACCAAATGACACCAGGTCATAAGGCACTTGCACATATTTGACTCCTGGATCCATTACAGTGACAGAAATACATTAATAACATGATCAACTACTTGTATCTCCTTTGTTGACAGAAGCTACTGAAGAAAGTGCCATACCATAGTGAGAGCCTGCACAAATTCAATTAACCAAGGGATGAAGGATGACCAAGAATCAGGTGAAAGAATGAATCACCCATTACAGTCATTACCTCTATCTGTGGACATTTTATCAGTAGCTTGGGTAGGACTCCCAAGCTAATGCCCATTAGAAGAAAGCATCATATACGGAAAATAGAAACACATTTTTAGTTTTTTTCAAAATATAAGTCAGGTCAGACTCAGGTGAACCAAAGCTATAACATCCAAGAAGATGCAGTGACTTTCCCTAGCTGGTTTGGTTCAATGGGTAGAGCGTCAGCCTGCGGACTGAAAGGTCCCAGGTTTGATTCTGATCAAGGACACATGCCTGGGGTAGAGGCTAGATCCCCTGTAGGGGGCGTGCAGGAGACAGCCAATCAATGTTTCTCTCATCGATGTTTCTAACTCTCTCTCTTTCCCTCTCCCTTCCTCTCTGAAATCAATAAATAAATAAAAAGATGCAGTGACTCTTTTGCACCTTAGGGACCATGGCACCTGAGGTGGTTAGCAAGGCTCCCAACACACCTATTTCCCATTTAGCTTATGTTTCAAAAATGGCACCTCTCGCCCTAACCGGTTTGGCTCAGTGGATAGAGCATTGGCCTGCAGACTGAAGGGTCCCAGGTTCAATTCAGGTCAAGGGCATGTACCTTGGTTGCAGGCACATCCCCTGTGGGAGGTGTGCAGGAGGCAGCTGATCGATGTTTCTCTCCCATCAATGTTTCTGACTCTCTATCCCTCTCCCTTCCTCTCTGTAAAAAATCAATATTTTTTTTTTAAATGGCACCTCTTACCCAGCTGGCATACCTCAGTGGTTGAGCATCGACCTATAAAACCAGGTCACAGTTCAATTCCTGGTCGGAGCACATGCCCGGGTTGTGAGCTCAATCCCCAATAGGAGGCATGCAGGAAGCAGCCAATCAATGATTCTCTCTCATCATTGATGTTTCTCTCTCTCTCTCTCTTTCCCTTTCTCTTTAGGGGAAAATCAATAAAAATATATTTAATTAAAAAAAAGATGGCACATCTCAAATTACTGATGAATTAACGGAATGCTGAATGTTTAAAAAAGGGGGTAATCTCATACATAAAATGTAGAAAAAGATGGTAAAAAGCAAAGGTGATAGCACTAACTGTCACAGTCCCCTAAAGTTTACATGTGCCACAGTAACGTTACTATGAACTTTCTCGAGTATTTTTTATCAGTGCAAATAAACAAAATAATTACATTTTCAAGTAAAATTTATTTAATAATATAAAAATATGGTATTAAAAACATTTATTAAGAGAAGTAACTTCAGAAGTCTTATGACTTTATAACTGAAAAACAATAAAAACTGTTCTGTGCTTCCCAAAAAACAAACAACAAAAAATGCCACCTATCTTTCACTTGTCTTTTCACAATAGGGAAATTCTAGTGTTACTCTACCTATTTCAATTCTGGTTTATTTTTTAAGTCAACTTTCCTAAGAAGGAATGCTGGCCTTCTGAGAGAAAATGGAGTATTTATAATCTGGAGGATCTTCTGTTGCCTGATTTTCAAAGAAAGTTGATTTTTATCTGACTTCGCTAACTTTCATTCAGAAAATTTTAGTAAAATGCATTTAAAGCTTGGTATTGTGAACATGCAGGAAAAAAAGACTATAAAATGAAATAAAAGCCTCTAAATTGTACAAGTGACTAATAGTCCGGCACTAATTCCTAAAATGAGTCCTTGTGTGCAGTGCCAGCCTCAGGTTTGTCCCACTGACTCTTAGAGGACATATGTGACGACAACAATAATCAAACTTACATAGAAACTTATTTCTCCTCAAGTTTTTGTCCTGTGGATGTGAATCACTAAGCACACATATATTTCCCACTTTTAGGAGATAAGGCAAAAAAAAAAATCATCTTTGGAGTTTGCTCTGGTTCTTGTTTAAGCTTCATGGAGTAACACATAGGAGGCTAAAGTAAAAAACAGGTAATACTTCAGTAACAATAAGTCCAACTGACTTAGTAAACAAAATATGCTTCCTTTCTAACCTTCTAAATTCCCATTTACCTACAAATCTGAGGGTTTTAATCTGCATGGGTCCCTTGGCAAGAAAGTCAGAAGTCATTGTCACTCTCTTCCAGGGGCTCAGGTTTCCGGACCCTTCGACTAGATTTAGCTGGAGAGAGAGCAATGCTCTCGTCTTCCAAGTCGTCGTCTTCTTCATCATCTTCCATGTCAATTTCACTGTCCTCCGAGTCTTCCTATAGGAAAAAGACAGCAAATACACTTTGTTCCTGACATCTTGTCAGCAAGACCCTACCTCACCCTTTTACTAGTAGCTCAATAACTAGCAACACCTCCATGTGAAGGAAGAGCTTGGCAGAGAAGTGGTCAGGTTGTGGGGGCATAAAAATGGATCAACTTCTAGATATTGCTGGCTGGAATACAGAGATCAATGTATCCTCTAAGCGGTAACCTTCAAATACCAAGATGCAGTAATCCAACGTAGGTGCCACAGGGACTGGCTTTTCCACTGATGACTCGGGAACATGAGACCTGCCCAAGGCTCACTGAATGCTGCTTTGCTCCTAGCGGCTCAGAGACCCACCAGTGGGTAGCAAGGAGGGTAGGGACTCGGAGAGAGGGAAGAAAAGCTTGTTTTGACTTCTGACAGACTGGGGATGCAAAGCCACAAAGGAAATGGGAATAGGGAGAAAAATAAAAGAAACACTCTCACCCTGCTGGCGTGGCTCAGTGGTTGAGTGTCGACCTATGAACCAGGTAGTCATGGTTCAATTCCGTCAGAGCACATGCCTAGGTTGTGGGCTTGATTCCCAGTGTGGGGCGTGCAGGAGGCAGCCAATCAATGATTCTCATCATTGATGTCTCTCTCTCTCTCTCCTCCTCTCCTCTCTGAAAGCAGTATTTTTTTTTAAAGAAACACTCTACCCCTGGCAGGTTTGATTCAGTGGTTAGAACTTCAGCCCATGGACTGAAGGGTCATGGGTTTGAATCCCAGTCAAGGGCACGTACCTCAGTTGCAGTTTTAATACCTGGAGAGCAGGAGGCAACCAATCAATGCGTCTCTCTCACATCAATGTTTTTTTCTCTCTCTCTCTCTCCCCCTCTCCTCTTTTCTCCCTCCCTCCCACCCTGTCTGAAAATCAATGGAAAAAAAAATATATCCTATATAATAAAAGGCTAATATGCAAATTGACCGAACAGCAGAACGACCAATTGCTATGACGCGCACTGACCACCACGGGGCAGACGCTCAATGCAGCAGCTCCCCCCTGGTGGTCAGTGCGCTCCCACCGGGGAAGCGCTGCTCAGCCTGAAGCCAGGCTCACGGCTAATGAGCACAACGGTGGTGGTGGGAGCCTCTCCCGCCTCTGTGGCAGTCAGACATCCCCCGAGGGCTCCCAGACTGTGAGAGGGTGCAGGCCAGGGTGAGGGACACCCTCCCCGAGTGCACAAATTTTGTGCACCAGGCCTCTAGTATCTATACTAATAAAAGGGTAATATGCTAATTAGACCGGGAGACCTTCTAGACAAAGCCATGGTGGCGGGGTCAAGGCAGAGGCGGTTAGGGACGAGCAGGCCAGCAAGGGAGGGCAGTTGGGGGCGATAAGGCCGGAAAGGGGGGGGGAAGTTGGGGGTGAGAAGGCCAGCAGGGGTTGCAGTTGGGGGTGAGCAGGCCGGCAGGCAGAGTGGTTAGGGGTGATCAGGCAGGCAGGCAGGTGAGTGGTTAGGAGCCAGCGGTCCTGGATTGCGAGAGGGATGTCCAACTGCCAGTTTAGGCCTGATCCCTATGGGGGCAGTCGGACATCCCCCGAGGGGTCCCAGATTGAAGAGGGTGCAGTCCAGGCTGAGGGACATACCCCCCCACTGGTGCACAAATTTTGTGCACCGGGCCACTAGTGTGTGTGTGTGTGTGTGTGTGTGTGTGTGTGTGTGTATCTCCATCCATCCTCAGGTAAGGATTAAAAAAAAAACAACAGCCTCCTCCTTCATCTAGATCTAGGGTAACCAACTCAGCCAGGTTTAAAACTGCAAGTCCTGCATCCCAGGTAAACTAGGATGTTTGGTCGCTCTAGCTCAGGGGTGGGCAAACTTTTTGACTCGAGGGCCACAATGGGTTCTTAAACTGGACCGGAGGGCCGGAACAAAAGCATGGATGGAGTGTTTGTGTGAACTAATATAAATTCAAAGTAAACATCGTTACATAAAAGGGTACGGTCTTTTTTTTTTTTTTAGTTTTATTCATTTCAAACAGGCTGGATCCGGCCCGCGGGCCGTAGTTTGCCCACGGCTGCTCTAGCTAAAGCATTCCCACCAGCATACATATACACTCCAATTTCCTTCTTCTTAAAAAACAAAGTAAAAACCTCAAAACTTAATCCTACCTTCCCCTCCAGCTACTCTGCCCTGTTTCTCTGTTCCCCTCACAACAAAACTCCTTGAGTGAGTTTTGAACTCACTGTTGTCACCTGTTCCCCTCTCACTACCTCTTTTTTTAAAAAAAATTTTAATATTTTTTTAAATTGATTTCAGAGAGGAAGGGTGAGGGAGAGATAGAAACATTAATGATGAGAGAGAATCATTGATTGACTGCCTACTGCACGCCCCCTACTAGGGACCAAACCTGCAACCCAGGCATGTGCCCATAACCAGAATCAAACCCGGGTCTGCAGGCCAACGCTCTATCCACTGAGCCAAATCGGCTAGGGCTCTCACTGCCTCTTAAGCACACTCTGGTCAGGCTCTCACCCCATCAATCCCCCAAACTTCTCTTGTTAAGACTGACATATTTGGTGGGTTCATGGGGTAATTCTCTGTCCTCCTGTTTGACCTACAGGCTCCTTCTCCCCTGGCATCCACTATTCTGTCTTCCAGGGCACCCTTCTCTCTGGGTTCTCACCCCACCTCATTCCTGTGTCTTGTCTTGCTTGCTCAACCCCCTACATCTCCCTGACCCCCACAATGTGGGGCTGGCTCAGGGCCTTGGGCATCCTCTCTTCTCCTTCTTCTCTCTTCCAAACAATCACATGTACCCTTGTGCTTAAAGACCACCCAGATATGGATGTTTCCCCCAATTCAATCTCTAGCCCAGACCTGACTTTGAACTCCAGACTTGAACTTCAAGTCAGCATCAGCATGTGGACATCTAGCAGGCAATTCACACTTAGAACGTCCAAAATCCAAACTCTCAATCTGCTAGCCAAGCCCCTTCCTCAGGTCTGCCTCACAGTTTTGTGCTTTTGGCCAATTTTGCCACAACTAAGGCATCCTTCATTTTCTTTAACACCCCGTGTCCAATTAATAAAACCTGATGGTTCTTACCTTAGAAACACGTTCAGAACCTACTTTTCAACACCTCTGTTGCTACGACCCACGGCTAAGCCACCGCCATCATCACCTCTGAACTAGACTCTTGCAAATGCCTCTTCACTGGGCTCTCTTAAATGTGAGTCAGTTCTTGGCACTCCTGGTCTCAGGATTCTCTAGCACCTTCCCACTGTACTCAGAGAAAATGCTAAGTCTTCGTCATACCCTGCAAAGCTCTGCACAGCCCCCTGCTGCTCCTGCCCCCAGCTCATCCCATTCCAGTCACGCCATCGCCTCTGGTCCTCGAATGCAGAAACCATATTTCCTGTGATCAGGATGCCCCTCCCCAGCACCATGTCCCTCCTTCCCTTCAGGCCTCTGCCCAAATGTCACCTTATCAGAGAGATCTTTCATGACCAATCAAAAGGCATTCCTCATTCCTATCACTCTGTTCCAAAACCTACTTTATTTTTCTTCTTAACCACTATGAGCCCTGATGGGTCTGCTTCACTACCATTGGACTGTAAGTTTCATAAAGGCAAAGACCTTATTTCTATTCATTACTGTATTCCGCACTATCTATAATAGTGTCAGGCACATAACAGCCACTCAAAAAATATCTGTCCAGTGACTGAGTGAACATGTGAAGGACAAACTCCTATGCTTAGGGGATGGTGCATGAAAACATTCTCCCTGAAATAAACAAGTGACAACAGGCACAGAGCAGATATAAGCTACAATAATGCAATTGTTCTGAAAAGTAGAAAGCTATATAAATGATCAAGCAAATCACAAGAGGCCAGCCAGCGCTTGCTGGGTATCACCAGACTTTCCTTAGTTCTGTCTTGGATGAATAAGATGGATGGATAGAAGCTGTTTAACCATCCATCACCTATCTTCTTAAAATTTTTGAGGTAGTTTCTCTGCTTCTCTAAAGATCATCTTCTATGTATTCAAGGTTCTATCTCTGTGCATCTTGCCCAGCACACCTGAGTGACCTCTCCCTCCTGTGAATTTCTATGATAGTACACATGGCTGATACTAAATAAATGGACCTTTTGTACAAGAACATAAGACTCGCCCTCACTGATTTGGTTCAGTGGATAGAGCATCGGCCTGAGAATTGAAGGGTCTCCCAGGTTCAATTCCAGTCAATGGCACATGCCTGAGTTGCGGGCTCGATCCCCAGTAGGGGGTGGGGGAGGGGGGCGTGCGGGAGGCAGCCAATCAATAAAAAAAAAGAATGTAAGACTCATGCTCTGTCTCTGTGTAGCCACTAGTGCCACATTCTAGACACATGTGATATTCAACCTGATGGGGAGATCTGTGATTGGTGTCAACCTAGTCATCCTTTACCACTTGGGATTGACAGTATTGCCAGGGACTGCAACAAAGAAGGCAGGCCCAGAATGATGAATGGAAGAGCCCCAACAGCTGGGCCCCAGCAGGGACCCCTTGTTTCCCCATTCTGGTTCATTTCCCAGTTAGTTATCCACTTAATAACGATCAAGGTGCTGCAGCTCCTTGCCCCGCCTCTCAGAGGCCCTGGTCTCAGGAGAGCCTCCTTATCATGTTCTCTCCCCAGAAAGGAGCTGGAGAGAGGGCTGGTCTTGACCCCAGGCCCTCAGCAGCATCCTTTCCTTTCTAGGTTATGGTTCAAGGGCCAGATGACTCCCACACCACAACCTTTCTTGTCCTTGGCTCAGCACTTACTCCTCCTTCTTAGAATAGGCACCTCTAGGTAACTTCACCATTCACTGTGGGATCCATTTTGAGTGGCTTTTTGCCCAGGATACAGAAGCATCATTCTTGGGGAAGGCTCTCTGCTGGCTCTGAACAAGCAGATACACACACACACATACACACACACACACATGGATGGATGGGGTGAAAAAGAAAACCAACCTGCTTCTTGGAGCTGGAAGTCTTGCATTTACCTAACAGAGCTGGTGTTCCTTCCATCTTTGGAAAGTGAGAGCAGACAGAACATGAGAGGGGGAAAAAGTAGGGGAAGCAGGTTCATTTGAAAAGAAATGAGCCATCAACAATCAAAGAAGAAAGTCCAGCTTCTTGGGAGGCCAAACTGCCACAAATCCAGTGATGTGGGCTGAGAAACCACACCTCACGCTAAGCTGGTCAAACATGCTTAGTTCCTGGCTAATGCAGTCACGGAGGCCAGCCCAAGACTAGAAAGAATACAACTGCTAAAGGGGGCTGGTCGCGACTCACATCGTCATCCGAGTCTCCACCTTGCATTGTGCCCACGATGTGTTTGCTAGGTCTTCCTGGGGAGAATAAAAGCATGAAGAAATTGCAAAAACCTTTAAAATAAGGCATAAAATAGCATTTAAGATTTGCCTTCCTTTAGAACAGTGGTCAGCAAACCATGGCTCGCAAGCCACACGCGGCTCTTTGGCCCCTTGAGTGTGGCTCTTCCACAAATACGGGCTCTTCCAAAAAACACCGACTTCTGCGCATGGGCCACAAAGTTTCAATCGCACTGTACGTGTACGCCCGCACGTGGTATTTTGTGGAAGAGCCACACTCACGGGGCTAAAGAGCCACATGTGGCTCACGAGTCGCGGTTTGCCGACCACAGCTTTAGAACATTGGGAAAAAGAAGAATTAAATTAAAACACTTAAGTAGCATCCCAACTAATCAGAACTGCCGACAAATGGTAACGGATTTTCTGCATTTCCACATTAAAACAAAGAAAAGAGCAGTGAAATGTAAGCATGAATCATAAATCAGAAAAATAAAGATGCATTCTGTAAATGTTTTAGGGGAAAATCACTTTCCCTAAAGTGATTTAGGGAGGCAGCCGATCAATGATTCTTATCATTGATGTTTCTATCTCTCTCCCTCTCCCTTCCTCTCTAAAATCATAAAAATACATATTTTTTAAAAAGTTCATCTTTGAAAACATCATCATTATTTGAGTGGTTCTCCATTCCTCCTGTGAAAGTCTAGATGTGATTATGCAGACTCAGAGGCATCTTTCACTGGGTGGAGACAGAGAGCTGCTCTCATACCTGAAGGCTGAGAAGCGAACACCCATGACCGCAGGTCCAGGCCTCCGGAGAAAGGCAGTGAGGGCAGCTCAGAGGGGAGTTCACTCAGGACAGGCCTGGAGTGATGACCAGGAGCTGTTATAGATACTGTTCCTTGGGTCAGGTAAAATGCAGATCTTGTGCTGTTTCACTTCTGCAGTGAATTGTCAGAAGTAGAATTTAGGAGCACCGGTGCCTTTACTAGGTTCTGCTGAACTAATCACATACCATTTTAGAGCCCTGGCTCCCGTATGGTAGAATAGGAGTCATAACCTCTAACCTCTATTGATGTCATGAAGCTGTCAAAAAATTAAAGGAAGATAAAAAAAAATCAGAGCACCTAACTATCCTATGAACAAAGCAAAATGTAATAAGTAAAGATAGGTGGACCTAAAATAAGAGAAAACAGTTAACAACAAAAGTTAGTATGAAATGACAAATGGAAGATCACTTACCATTTAAATTTATTATGTATATAAAAATGCAATTGTGCTCCAAAAATTAATAAGTGGTAGATAAGAAATGTTTTTAAAGGCAAATATAGGGCAATTTAGTAGTATCTTTCAGAATTTAATTTACATAACCTTTGACCTAAGAATTCCACTTTTAATGACATAGCCTAAAGAAACACTTGCAGATGTGCAGAAAAATCTATAGGGAAAAGAGTATCTTAAGTATTGATAGATACTTAAGTATCTATCAACATGGGAATGCCCAAGTAAATTACAGGTACAGTCATACTATGGACTAATATGCAGCTATCAAAAAGAAAGAAGGAGATCTATATTTTACTGACATGGGAAGAGTTCAATATATTTAAATTTTTTTTTAAAGCAGATTGCAGAACCACACACATAGTCTGGTCTCACTCCAATTAAAAAACCTTTCAGATGATCTTTGTGTCCATGTTTCAGTGTGTGTGTGTGAAGGCAATTTGGAAGGACACGCCCTGGCCTAAGGTGGGGAGTGAAACATGAGGAAGACCTCTCACCCAGATTTGCTCCACACATTTTATTGCTTGAATCTGTTACAGCGAGAAAGTAGAAATTAGAAGAACATTTTTAAATGGCAGAGATGTTTCTGTAAGTCCCTTCTTTGGACATTATCTGACTATAAGGTATCAACTGCACTGAGAACACTTTGGACCCAAAAAGGGCAGAATATAGCTCAGTGGCAGAGGCAGTGTGTTCCTGTAAACTCTGTGAGAAACACCAAGCCACAAATAAGAATTGGCCCTTCTTGGGACTCCAGATAAGAACATTAGTGATAAAGATGACCACTGAGCAGTTTAAGAGCCAAATCCTGATAAACAACAGGGCGGAAAAAACCTAGAGCAGGGCCACTCACAGTGTGCTTATCGGCCTTACTACCAAGCAGCCCTGACCCAGTTCTGGCCGTGGTGTTCGATGACAGGCACAGGGAGGAGGGCAAGGGAAAGAAGCCCTGGTACCTTGCATGAGCACCTCCATGGCTGTCCGTGGCTTGGACAGCCGTCTCTCTTCCAGTTCACTGTCAGATTCATCATCCTCCTGGATGTCGATGTCCGAGTCATCATTACCTGGCAGGAACACAGTAAGAAAAAAGAGGGGGGGAGCGGTGGATCCATCATTACTTCTAAACCAGCCTCTGTCCAGTAAGGCTCTTGGCAAGGCATATGCACTTCTCAGCCTTTCTTTTGATGCATTAGATTTTATGAGAACTTCAGGATTTGCTAGTAGATACTTAGTGAAGAGTTAATACAAACAATAGGCAGTTAGTTTTTATTTTTTTAATTTTTCCAAAGCTAGAAAAAAGTGGGTCTGATACATTAGCTAGAAACACTATTCCAGTATGGGAAATTAAACAATTGACTAGCCAGCTGTCATGATAGCTAGGAGTTCTTGGTTAGTTGGAAGGAAAAAAAAAATTCTTTGTTCAGTCTTAGGCTGTGTCACCAAAACTCAAGCTCCTTGAGGATAACAAAGATGAAGAATACCCCACTGAAAAGGTCAGTGACTGCACCAAAACAAGACTGGAGGCAAGAAGGAGACCAGGATAGGAATGGCCTGAGTAGGGCTGGCATGAGAAAGATGGTGACCTACTGCCTGACAATGAAAACGTACGTGCTCATGACATTCTTCACTAGAGAAAATTCCATTATAAAGATATATAAAGAAAGGTCATTCTCAACACCATGGCCTTTTACATTAATTTCTTAAATACTCTCCTGGAGTTTGGTGCACGTTGAACATTTCCTTATGGAAACCTACAGAATGAGAGTTTCCACAGTGGGGAGAAAAAGCTTTTACTGCCCAGCACCTGACGACTCTGCACCCAGGGACAGACATAGGTTTTAAGAATGGCACTGGAGGAGTGTGCAGCTGCTGCTCTGATCACTGACTCATAAGTCAGTTTGGAAGTATAGGAAGTGTTCGTCTACAAAAAAGCTTTGCTTAGACCCTGATCTAAGAGGGAAATGAAATGGAGGCTATGTCTAGCTGAGCACAGAGTGAACGTTTTCTGCTTTCTTTAGCCATGGAGAGATGAGCTGTGCTCTGCAGCACAGAGGAGGAAACCTGGGAGCCAGAGAGTGTCAATAACAGCATCCTGCAAGACTTCAATACAATCGACCTGAAAACTACCACCTTCCAAAAGCCCTTACCAGAATATGATTAAATGTTACCACAAAGTAATGATTATAAAATGAAATCACTGTTCAGCTTAGTTCACTTTTTATTTCATCCAGGAAAATTATGACATTAAATCGGTACCCAATGCAACATAAACCAAATGATATCATGAATTTTAAAACAACATTAATACAGATATTTCAAGCTCAACATGATTTCTTCTGACAACTCAAAACATTTCACTGAGGACTAAGCAGGTAAACTAAAACTAACACATGCTGACACTGAAATCACCGAGTTGTCAGTGATATGTTAAAATTAAGTACAGCAGACAATAGTGCTGATATAATTCAACAGGGAAAGGATAGTCTTTCCAACAAATGGTGCTGGGACAACTGGCTAGCCACATGCAACATGTACTTCAGTTGCTGGCTTGATCCCCAGTCCCTATCAAAGCATGTGCAGGAGGCAACCAATCAATGTGTCTCTCCCTTTACTCTCTCTAAAATTCAATAGAAAAATATCGTTGGGTGAAGATTAACAAAAACAAAGTAAATGGATTAAGTAACATTAAAGAGATTATAAGAAAAATATATTCCAAATTTTGTTAGTTGTATAATGGTTATGTTTAAATTATTAACACCTAAGAAATTGGGTGAAGGGTACATATAATATGCTGTAGTATTTTATAGTTTTTTTACATGTATGAGATTATTTCAAATTAAAATATTAAAAAATTAAAAATTAATAAAATATTAATTGAAATGTATCTGCATTACATGAAAAATCTCCTAATTGCTTCTAGCATAATTTATTAAATTGTGCTAAAATTTACAAGGGTTCAATTAAAAAATATCTTAATTCTAAATGATATAATAGAAAATATATAATAGTGCAGTTATAAGCACTTATCTGAAAATAAAAATTTAAAGAAGTGAATTTAAAGAAGGGATTAGCCAAAGAAAATATATGCACAACCCATGGACACAGACAACAGTATGGTGATGGCCAGAGAGAAGTGGGGGGCAAGAGCTGGGTAGAGGGGGCAAAAGGGGGGAAATAGGGACATCCTATATAATAATAATAAAAGGCTAATATGCACATTGACTGAACGGCAGAATGACCGGTTGCT